AGGCCAGGAGCTCGCGCGCACGCCGCCGGTGATCGCAGGCAGGCAGGCAGGCAGGCAGCTGAAAAAAAAACCCCCCGTAATTTTGTTTTTTGCTCTTAGAGATTAATATATGTGTATGATGGTGTTTTGCCTAAAATTGGCAGAATTAATTCAAGTTTTAAGATTCTAGTTATTTGGATCACACCATGTGAGTAAATACAGTAAGCCACTATAAACTAGGCAACTATTGGCTTTGGAGAATGCAAAGATGATTAAGATTTGGTTCTGTCTGCTAAGAGTTCATAGTCTGTATAAAGACAGACCTTTAAGGAAATGGTATTAGATGATAAAATGTATATGAACTATACTGTAGCACAGGAAAGAAGGAACATGCAAAACCATTTTTATTTGGAGATGATAACATTAAAAAAAGAAGGAAGAAGAAAGGCAGAAAGAAGGAAGAAAGTGGAGAGGACAGGAAGATACATTTAGGTATAATAAACCTTGCTTAAAATGTAACAATACCATGGGCTGGGGATTTAGCTCAGTGGTTTGACCACCTGCCTTGCAAGTGCAAGGGCCCACATTCAATCCCTGGTACCAAAAAAGAAAAAAAAAAGTAACTATATAAACTGGGCTAGGTGGCGCACACCTGTAATCCCAGCACTTGGGAGGCTGAGGCAGGAGGATCACTGTGAGTTTGAGACCAGCCTGGGCTGCATAGTGAGTTCCAGGTCAGTCTCAACTACATAGTGAGACCCCGTCTCAAAAAACAAAACAAAACAAAATAAAAGTAAGTACATTAGACAAGTTAACCCAAAACAAAACCTTGGATTAATTAAATTTCAATACATTTTACAATTAAGGGCTGGGGATTTAGCTCAGTGGTTCGGTGGCTTGCCTTGCAAGCGCAAGGACCCGAGTTCAATCCCTGCTACCAAATAAATAAATAAATAAATAAAAATAGCTACAAGTGTAATTCAATGCTTTCTGGGATCAGTCCCCAGTACAATAACACACACACACACACACACACACAATCATATATATATATATGTGTGTGTGTGTGTGTGTGTGTGTGTGTGTGTGTGTATATGGCTAGACACACTTTGTAAAAGATGAAAATAATTTAATATTTCATTTACCCAAAGTTATATATTTATACATCATCTGTATATATTATATATTTATATACATGTGTATATGGCTAGACACACTTTTAAAAGATGAAAATAATTCTAATAACATATTTCATTTACCCAAATTTATCTGAAATAAATATCATTGTTTCTTTTATCATTATATCTTTGGACATAGACTAGGAATGAGTACAGGAAGTATTTATGAGAAAGGAGGAACTAGGTAAATCCAAGTGATCTTTAGAGGCAAAATAGACAGAATGATTAATTGGATTCAGAATGAGAGGAGTACAAATGGTTTCAAACTCAAACAAGTGCTTCTTTGGGCAATGGATATCTGATGTTTCCCACCCACCAAGACAAAGGACACAATATGGGGATAAATGGACAAGGACAATACTTCACCCTTAAGACAGAGCAAGGAATAATAGCTCACCTTTAATATAGGCCAAGGAATAATATTTCACCCTTAAAAATGGCGTGGAACTTGCAACTATACTACAAAACCACTGTGTTTAAAAACAGCATGGTACTGCCAAAGAAACAGACTGGAGGATCAGTGGAATAGATTAGATGATGCGGAAACTACTCCAGATGTACTCAGCTACCTCATCTTTAAAAAGGAGCCAACCATCCTCACTGGTGGAAAGATAGCCTCTTTAATATATGGTGTTGGAAAAACTGGATTTCAACTTGCCAAAGATTAAAACTAGACCCCTATCTTTCAACACGCACTAATCTAAAATCCAAGTAGATTAAAGATGTAAATATTTAAAAAGAAACACTAAAATTGTTGGAAAATAAGTTAGGTAGAACTCTTGAAGACATTGGCATAGGAAAATACTTTATGAACAAAACCTCAGTAACACAGGAACTAGCACAAAGAATCAACAAGTGGGATCTCATCTTTTTAAAAAGCTTCTGCACTGCAAGAGTAACCACCAACAGAGCTAAGAGACAACCTACAATGTGGGAAAATTTTTTTACTAGGTATTCCTCAGACAAAGGTCTACTATCTAGAATGTATAAAAAACTCAAAAAAATGAGGCCCTCCAAAATAAAGATCCAATTCAAAAATGGGCATCTGATATGAACAGACATTTCTCAGACAAAGAAATAAAAGCAGCAGATAAATATATGAAAAAATGTTCAACCTTCCTTTCTCTTTTACCTAATCCAATCCACAAGCTTATTTGACAGTGTGACCCATACTGAGTCGACCTTCCCATTATCAACACTCAGAACGGTGCTAAACCATTCGGTGGGCTATTTAGTTATCACATCCTTAATACATATTCACACACCTTTAATCCACATGCACACACCCTAGATCCAGCCATTTCCAAAAGACCTTACCTACAAGTTCATGAGGCTTTAGGCAGACATCCAGATACAAGCCATAACACCAAAAAACAGGTTAAAAAAATACTTTTCAGTGTACTTATGTGGGTGTTTCTGGAAGAGGTTGGTATTTGAGTCTCTGGGCTAAGTAGGGAGGATCTGCTCCCATCCATTGTGAGTGGGCACCATCCAATTGGTTGAAGGCCCAGATAGAACAAAAAACAGAGGAAAAGTGAATTCCTTCTCTCCTCTCCCTTCTCTCCTCTCCTCTTCTCTTCTTTTTCTTTTCTCTTCTCTCCTCCTCCTTCCCTTCTGCACTCTCTCTCCCTCACCCTCTCTCCCTTCCTCTCCCTCTCCCTGTCTTTCTCACTTTTTTCCTTCTGTCTCTTTTGCTTATATCTCTCTGGATAACCATGATTAACAACAGAGTCCTCTTTCAGAATGATAAGGATTATCTTAAGCAATGTTTGAAATAATCAGACTATTATTTGGCATATTAATTACCAGTTCTCTTCAAAAGATGCCCATTAGGCATACTTATATAATTACATCTAATAAGGAGGAGAAAAGAATCACGCCAAAGACTTTTACTTAAGATGTGTAAGGTTCACAGGGAAAAAGAGATACTAAAATTATGTGGGTGGCTCTTTAAAAAGAATCTTTATACATTTTCAGAAATTATGCTATTTTATTAAAGTGCCTTTTATTCTTTTTATCCCCATAAAAAGGCAAGAAAGCAGATAACACTTTCAAGTAAAATTCCAGAAGTAGCTGGAATAGTCGTCTTGAGAAGCAGTCATTCCAACCTCCCACTTGAGTCAGTCAGCATCTGTGGACGCCCTTATGCAGTTATCATCCTGACATCCTGAAATGGTGAACTAGGGCACAAATTGATAAGTTGTTTTTGTCATCATTATGTAGAAACAAAATACTATTCAGGCCCCTTTTCAGCCACAGGAACCACATATGTTTCTCGGTATTCTTCCTTTGTAGAGCTCCTTCCTTCCCCCATTTTCTTGTACGTTCTTATCTCCATCCTCAGGCCTTCTCTGTCATGTTTGTCCCGTCTTCATTCAGGTCCCTGAAAGAGACAGGTCACAAAGAGAGCAGAAATGAACCAGCTCCAAGTTTCTCTGAACAGTGCTACACAAGGAAAGTCCTGATCATATAGAAGACTTCCACATCTTAGTTTTCTATGGAGAGCCTCATGAGATCAGTCCTTGACATAAGCACAGACATGATTGAACTTTGAGTCACCTCGCTGGCACAGACGTGCCATAACCCATAGCAACGGGCTAGTTCAACTAGTGGCCTGACCTGTTGCCTAGCTAATGTAATCCATAATAGTTGTTTTGTAGAGCATTGTGACCTTTGCAGTCAGCTACACCCTATTCGCACTTTTGGTTTCGGTTTTAGCCTATATATACTCCACCCTGAAAAATAAACGGGGCCTTGCTACGAAGAGAGCATGAGCCTGGAACCAAGTCTGTGAGACTGTTTTCTCTCCTGTTGTCCTTCCCTCGGGTTTTGGGACCTGCTGGCAGGATCCTGACGTGGCTCGTGACAGTTTCCAGCAATAATTAGATTCCCGGGTTTTGGGACCTGCTGGCAGGATCCTGACGTGGCTCGTGACAGTTTCCAGCAATAATTAGCATAAATTCAGCATCTTAGTTTTCCAATTGCTAAGACAAAATACCCAACACCTAAAGTTAGAGGAGAGGTTTATTTTGGCTCATAGTTTGTAAAGGTTTCAGTCCATAATCAGCTGACTGCAAGGCAGTGTGGCATAGCAGAGGGGCATCTCAGAGGAGAAAAAATAGTTCATGGCATGAAATGTAGAAGGCAGGACAGCAAGCAGTAATTCATGGCAGCAGCCCTCTTTCTGTCTCTTGTAGTCTATCTAGGCTGTACACCCTTTTGGCAGATAGCACTCACAACCACAGTAGACTTCCCATTATCTACACCTAGCACTATGCTAAACTACTCAGTGGAATAACTTAGTAAGCACACGCCCTTAATCCCACCATCATACACTCTAGATCTAGCCACCTCTGAAAAGCCCTACCTGTGACTTCATGAAGCTTTGTGGGACATCTAGACACAAGCCATAACACCCATTTATTATGTTGCTAAATGTTTTACTCATAAAGAGAAGGAACAAATGGCCTTAATATCACAATGGGTCTGAGAGGGAGTTTAACAACTGAGATTGCTGGCCTCTGGTGTACAATGAAGGTAATAGACTCCTGGGGCTTTTTGAAAAGGAAAATGGAATCACAAGTGGAATGAATGCAGCCATATTTATTCCCTTAAATTATATCAATATTAGGGTTTGCACTAAGGTTTGATGTAAAGACCATAAAAAATTAAGTCTTAAGGAATGGCATCAAACCGAATTTGCATTCCACAAGTTTTCCCAGGTTATTGAGAGAAGACTTGACATTTATTCACTGACTCACTGAACATACAGTGTTATTCTAGGATCGAGAGATACTGCACCAAATACAGAGACTCTACTTTCTAGATATCCTTCTAGGTGGAGGAAGACAAATCATCAGTAAGTACAGGGCCAATTAAAATGTATGGTGAATGTTCAAATTTTTAAAAATATATTACAGTAAAAGCGCTAATAATGCCCCCTCAAAAAATATTTCCCCTCACTTAGAATACACTCATCCTATTGCACTTTCTGAAACATTTCTGGAAGTCATCGTCCATATCTCTTCAGTGAATTATCAAAAATATGTTAAATGCTATTGTCAAGTGCCCAACAAAAAAGTAAGATTGTAAAAACATTACAGTGTTTTCTCAACTATCATACACAACAGATATGGCAGTGAGATTTCTGATTCTTCCCCAAAGTCTAAATGACTATGAAAGTTAAATGTATTTAATTGATTCAGGACATTGAGGAAGCCACAACAGTATAACTAAAGACACAAAAAAGGACTTCCAGAACGCCTTCAGAAAAGAAAAATGGGGGGCTGGGGATTTAGCTCAGCATTTTTGCCACCTGCTTTACAAGTACAAGGGCCCAAGTTCAATTCCTGGTACAAAAAGAAAAGAAAGATGGGATTCACCTTGTAATTTTCCATTGGGTCTTATGACTTTGTCCCACTTTTGTACCTGCCTCATCACATGGCTTTGCTGTATAAAACACCTTTGAGAAGTGGGGTAGGTGGGCAGCCCACTTTCAGGCCCCCTTCTGTCTCTCTTAGACAGAAGCTTTCTTTCCCTCAATAAATTTTTCCTACTCTTAAAAAAAAAAAGAATGATGGTATGTGTGCTCAAAGTGAGGAGGAATATTACAAGATGGATTACTAGTAGTGTGCCTTTCACTGTAATAATGTATTTAATTTGAACATTCACTAAAGTTTTCAATCATACCTCATAAGTCTTAAAGGAAATAAGAAGATAATTGATGGTGGTAAATGCAATGGTGACTACAACAGGGTAATGTGATAGGAAACAACTAAAAGAAAGGAGCCTTCTTAAATTTGATGATCAGAGACTGCCTTACAAGGAGTCACTGAGCAAAAAATGGCATTGATAATGGAGATAATATCTATATACACTTCCATGTTTTAAAGATAAATATGAAAAATTCTTACTGCTCCCTTCATTTGAACTGGAAATGTTGAAGAGCCTATATAAACATGTGCATACTGAGTAGATATCATAGCATTTGATTCAGCCCTGGTAGTTGAGAATTGTAGATGTGTCTGGTTACTGCAGTGATGTCACTACAGTGTAAAAATATACCGATCTTTATACCCAGACTATTTCTATACAAAATGGTTCACTGACTACAATCAGAAAGCCAAACAAACAATGAAGTTCAGATACAAGTTAAGAGAAACAAAAATTGTGTCAGGTGTGGTAGCATAGATTGGCAGTCCTAGCACTCTGAGAGGCTGAAGCAGGAGGATCTAGAATTTGAGCCCAACTTAAGTAACCTAGCAATTTATAAAATTATCAAAATAAAAGCTAACAAAAGTCAAGGCTAGAGATATGAATCCCCAGTACCACCAAAAAAAAATTAATTAAAAATTTTACTAGCTCTGTAAATATGCTTTAAGATGATTTTTGTTAGATACATCACTGTATTCATCTGATCAAAAATTATACTTAGCAGCGCCAGAGATTTATCTCAGTGACACCACTCCAACCTCACAAGCACAAGGTCCTGAGTTTGATTCCCCAGTACCAAAAGAAAAAAGAAAAAAAATCATACTTAGCAATCATAACCAACACTTATTAAACTCTGTATAAAAAATACAGTGTTTTTATTTCCAATTTAGGTTTTCTGTTATTGAAGAAATATTCATACATAATGATCTCAAATATGTTTTCTTATCAGTTGGAAACAAAATATGAAAATTTTCAACACAAACCAGTTCAGTTTTTAATCATCAAAATGAAAAATTGTACGAGATGTAATATTGATAATGCCCAAAGCAGGCTGTCAGCAGTGTAGGCTGTGAAGAGTTAACCCCACAACTGGCTTGTTTTGAGAAGCGAGTCTGGCTGAAGCCTATGTGCCAAGGTCAGAGTGACTTGCACCCAAATTCCAACTGCACAACTAAAACCTTCTTAACTAGAAGCACAATGTTCTAATTACAACCATATGTTTTGTCTATTCTGTTCCTAATTCAAGAATGCTTTATCTTGCCCTTCAGGAGCCTTGTTTACAGTAATTTCTACAGAAACCACAAAACTGCACATCCTCACACATAGTTCCATCCCACATAGCTTGCCTTTGCCCCAATTGATTACTAATAAAAATCAGTGGCTTGGACTAGCCAGCAACTTTTTCAGTTGTATTGGCATTGGCCATCCTGGTGACCAACTTTCTGTCTCTCTTAGTTCTTTTGGTCTTTTTGTTTGTTTGTTTTTGTTTTTTTCCTCTCAGACTTGCATTGTATACTGAGCAGGAGACTGAAGCCTACTACCAAGGTTTCTGGTAATATTTCAGGGGTTTCTAGTAAAAAATTGAACATTATTGGTCATGATCAGTCCACAAAAGGAGTTTCTTGCTCCTTTTTATGCTCAGAAAAGTGAAACAAATCTACATGTTAGTGTACATATGGTTCCCAAGCAAAGATAATACAGTCAACATTTCCTCCATGGGTTTGCATCTGTGAATTCAACAACCAGCAGAAGATAAAAAAAAATTCAGAAAAAAATTAAAGAATTTTTAAATTTTGTGTTGAAAGCTGTACTGAAAATTCATGGACTTCTTATCATTAATCTCTAAGTATAGTGTATAGCAATTATTTACATTGTATTTATGTTGCATTAAATATTAACACTATCCCACAGATGACAAAGCATGTAGAAGAATGTTATATGAAAATCTAATGTCATTTTATATAAGGGATTGGAGCATCCAGGGATTTGGGTGTTCTAGGATGGCGGTATTAGAACTGATATCTCAGGAATACCATATATCCTTTTTTTTTTTAATATACCAGGGATTGAACTTGGGTCCTTGCACTTGCAAGGCAGGCCGTGGAACCACTGAGCTAAATCCCCAGGCATATATACATTTTTAACTTTCCTGTCAAATTACAATCTTCTCTATAATTATCTTTATTGTACATTTATTTACATGTGTATAGATTATTAGGTAGGAAAAGGCATAAAAGTATCTGTATATGTTCTAAATTTTTAATTTTAGAACAAGATAAATTTTATAGTATGCACTTCAAGGCTGATTTAAAATATATAATTTTAAATTGCTATCATAATAAACTGAGTGTCATTTTCAAAGATCTCATCACTCAGCAATAAATAGAGAAGTTAGATTTGTGCTTATCAAGCTTGAGGAAGAAAAAAACTTTAATTTCCCTCTGAAAGTGCATTAAATATTTAACAGCTCTGTTACATACCAAAGAGACAGAGCATTTAGTTTTAATGCACAGTTGTTGCTCAAAAGACTCTGAAAATACCTGAATTTTAGGATGAGATCTTCCTTCTGGTTCCAGTGACTCCTTGAATGACCCATTCACTGAGCATCCTCTGTAGTATGACAGGTGAGTTTGGCTTTGGAACTCTTGGTCCAGAGAATGCCTTCTGGGGTTATGGTCAGATGGTGTAGTTCTGGGGTGCACAGGAAACTGAAATATAAAATAAAAAATTTTAACACTAAACAGAGGCTATACAATCTTAGCACAGAGACAGGATGTTTACAAACTATTAACTAAACAAATCTCATGTTGAACAAATTTTATCTTCTTAATCAGTAAGAACTTTCTCCTACAATTAGGAAGCATAATTGGCTAAAATATTAAGTAGATCATCCCAAGCCTAGTCTTATTGCTTGATATTTCACCAGTAGCAGGGTAAATTCCAAACTGATTTTTAAAATTTTAATGAAACCACAGTTTTTAAAGAAATAATATAAAATTTAAATATCATTTTAATATGTTATTTCCTTGGAAAAGGGCAATGGAAGCAGTTATAAGGAAAAGTTAATTTAACTATATATAAATAAAAGTAATATATACCAAAAGCAACATAAATTTAAATATTAGACAAAAGCTTTACAAAAATGTGCTACATATTATAATACCTTTAAGATACAAAAAGTATATCTTACACACATACAGACACAAAGATCAAATAATCTAATGATGTGCTCACTTCAACAGCACACATAACAAAATTGGAATGAAATAATCCAGGACCAGGGATTTAGCTCAGGGACACCATGCCTGCCTCATAAGTGCAAGGTCCTGAGTCAATCCCAGGTACCAAAAACTAATAATAATATTCCAATGATATCAGTGTCAAAGTAACAACCGGAAAATGTGCACCACACAAGTAGTTCAAAGAAGCCAAACTTCTTGAAGTAACTGTGACATTCTCTCAATTTTTCTCACTTTGAACCCACTCCAACACACCTTTTACACCAGGATATTGGTGTTTGTCTTGCCAAATTCTGTATACTCTGAGACTTGCCATTAGGGTCCTTCTGGAAACAATATTTTTGTTGCCCTCTACCACTGCATTCTCTTGCTTTCCCTTGATCTTCTTCCCACTGTGATTTAGATGGCTTTTTACTTCTCCCTTCTATGAGCTCAAAATTGTTGGAGTTTCCCCTAAGAAGGCTTCAGATTTGCCTTCCTTCTCTTCCTTTCATTGTTCACTTTACATGGTATCCCTAAATATCTTGCCCCTTGTCCAAACCTGCATTATTACATAAAAATTAGAGGAGGCCTTGTTTTGGGCTAGGCTTCTATACTGGGACCAAACAAATCAGACCAACCATCAAAATAATCATCTGTTTTAAAGTTCCAAGTTAGTAAACCAAAACTAAGCTATTTATCCAACCTCCTATGATGTGAGAAGAAACAAAAGATTGTCAAATTTCTGAAATAACGCGTTTCAATTGGCATGATAATAGAGCTCCCTCTGCTTTAATCCTTAAACAAAAGAACTGATCTAAATTAATTTAATGTTAAGCAATCAGTTATTTTTCTATTATTCTGTCTCCTTTTCCTTGCCTTATAAGGAAAGTAATTCAAAATGACCATTACATTTTTTTCAGCTTCTTGCTGATTTTAAAACCCAAATGCCTGTAATCCTAGCACTCCAGAAGATGAGGCAGGAGGACTGACAAGTTTGAAGCCAGCCTGGACTACACAGTAAGTTCAAACCCAGTTAAAACTACATAGCAAGACATTGTCTCAAAAAATAAATTAAAAATATAAATAAATAAGTGATAACATTCTCTTCTGCTCAGCCTTAGTCCATCTGAATACTTATTCTATTTTAACAATAGAGAGGTGGGGGCTGGGGATTTAGCTCAGTGGTACAGCACCTGCCTTGCAAGCACAAGGTCCTGAGTTTGATCCCTGCTACCACAAAAAAAAAAAAAAAAAATTGAGAGGTGGGTTATATGCTGGCTAAAATTTTCCAGTGATCTTCTTCCCACAGTCACACCAATTTGAATAACTTTTCATTCACTAAACTAACTTCACAAGAGCTATGGAAGCCAGGTGAGAGATCCTGGTTTTAATACAACATGAAAAGATATACTGAAGACAACAGAAAGAAAAATGTGTCTTCCATCACTTCTCCCCCAATTCCAAACAACTTACAGCCTAGAGTGAGACATACCTCATGTAATTGGAAGAGGAAAAAGAAATTAAGTCCAAATCCTAACCTTGAAAATTAATGTCAGGCCCACTACCATAAAACCCAGTTCCAGGCAAAACCACAGCCCCTTACAACCTCTGGAATCGTGTCAGCTAGGCAGCCAAGGGACTGCCTCCAACACTCCTCTTCCAACCTTGGGCAACAGAGGGAAGAGTAAAACTCTGCCCACTAGGGAGTAAGGCATTTACCTCAATGTCAGAACCAGGCCCTGCAACAGTAAGACTCAGCTCCAGGCAGAAGCCAAGAGTCCCTGTATCCAGAAATATATAGACTGAGCCTTTTCACCCATCCCCCAGCATCATATAGAGACCTGTACCCAGACAGAACAATTGTATGCATCATTTCCAACTGCAGTGTAGGTTTGGGTATATGCCTGAATTGTGCAGATCCTTGAACCTTTGAAATTCAGGAGGAACTTAAGGCTCAGCCTTGGAAGACAAGGGATTGCCTTTACCAACAATTCTATCCTCAGACAGCACAGCATAGAACAAGAGCCTAATCACCAGAGGTTAAGGGGGGGGGTAGTCAGCATAGTACTTTGCTTTAGAACTCTGTGGGAGGAGTTCACAATGGCATTCTCACCTAGCCCAGTGCTCACAGATGAACCTTCCAGAACAACCCCAGTGCAAGAAAAGACACACAGTCCAAATCTATCAGACTTACATTTCAGCTATTCTTGGGCTATGAGTCCACCTTAGAGCAATAGGCATCCCAGGGCAGTGTGGGCCTTGGCCCTGCCCCACTACTGCATTGGTTTCAATGGTCCATGGGCTCAGGGTGTGACCCAGGATTATATCACTAGTGGTCACAGGACTGCCTACCTCATTTCTCCTTCAACTTGTTGCAGCACAAATGGAGAGAAAATTTTTCTACTTTTGGGGGGAAAAAAAAGTAAGCACCAAGTTGTGCCATAAGAGCCTGGGACTGGTTTATCCATAGTGATTCAGCTAAGTCTCAGTATCTGATCACAGGCTAGTGACCATGGATTGAAATGATGAACTATCCTTCTAAGGTATTTCTCTGATTAATGCTGTAAACCATATTACCTGCAGATTTGGGACAAAGCTGAGCTTTGATTGCCTGCTAGTGATGAAACAGTGACAACACACCAATCTGGGGCTTCTGTCAAACCTGGATAAACCATTGCTCAAATACTGAAAGTTACTAAAGGCTCAGAGAATACAACTAGCCTGCTTCAAACTTCAGGAAAGACAGGCACAAGCAAAACCAAAGTATAAAAACTGAAATAAATACCTAGTCCTTCTGTTATGGTTTAGATCCAGATGTCCCCCCCAAATCCTCATGCATTCATAGGCAGGGCTTTGAGGGTGATTAGATTACACCTAACTTGCTTTTAAATGGTTGGGTCAGATCTAGAGATGGACTCCTCCTGACGTGACCTGGTAAGGTGTGTCTCCCTTTCCAGCTCTTTCCTTCCTCTCTGCCACCAAGATGTGTGAGCAGTTTTTTCTCCACTATGCCCCTCTACCATGCTGTCCTGCCTTACAGCCAGCTGAACATGGACTGAAACATGAACCAAATAAATCTGTTTTCCTTTAAATTGTGGGTGATGAGTATTGTGTCTCAATAACAAGGAAGCCACTAAGATAGATTTTATTACAGGAGAAGTGCGATTGTTGTTGTGACTGTACCTGACCATGTGTTTAATACTCCTTTGGAACTGAAAAGGTTTGGAGATACTTGATGGAGAAGCAGCTTTAGAATGCTGTAAACCATGCTTCATGGGAGATTATAGTCATCTCTCAGAAGCACAAAATGCTGACGAAAAGGCAAACAATAAAGACTAGGGTAGGGAACAAGGACTCCATTGACCTTGTGGTAGAGACCATGTGTGTTCTGCTCTGGCAGGAAATTTGTCTATACTTTGCTCATGTCCTGAGACTTTGTGGGAGAGTGAGACTGGGAGTAAGAGACTAATTAATCTGGTGGAGGAATTTCAGTGTAGCCTAATATTCAGCATGGAGTATGGATACTGCTTTCAGCTTTTAGCCATATTTATACTGAAAAAAATCAGAAGCATAAAGTCCACTTGAAAAGTTTTTAATTTCCCCAGAAAGGAAGTATCTGTAAAGTTAGAAAAGAGGAAAGCTTGGCTGCTAAAAAGATTAGCATTAAAATCAAGGCAAGTAATTTACAAGAGGACAATACAAAAACTGCCTCAGGGAAACAGCAAAGCCCCATCCTTTGTTTTTTATCTTTATTAAATTTATTGGTATGTATTAGGTATACAATACAGTTACATTCATCATTGGGATCTTGTACCTATACATGACTTATTAGGTTCATATTTTTCATCATTCCCCAGCCCTCCCCCAGCCTCTCCACCCTTACCTATTTACAAAGACATTGTTTCCATGTTTTGCCTTTACACATATTTTTCTATTCCCTTTTTACCTTTCCCCTACCCCTCCCACTTCCTCTACTCTTTTAGACTTTCTTCCTATGACACAGTACCAATTTTACATTTTTTATTGAATTTATTGGCATAGTCTAGATAGACAGTACAGTTACATTCATTACTGGGATCTTGTACCTTTACATGACAGGTCCTGGCTCTCATTTTTCCCCTTGTCACAACCCTCCCTTCACCCCCTCTTCCCCTCCCCATCTACAAAGACTTTAATTCTATTTTTACATTTTCTCATATTTTTCCCCTTTCCCTTATTCTCCTTCACCTACCCTTCTCACTGTCCCTACATCTTTAGTCCTTTTCTTCCTATTTCACATTACTAATTAACCCATTAGGATCTTGAGTACCATTTTACTTTTTCACACCACAGTAACTATTCAGTATTTACACATGTGTGACTTATTTATTTCACTTAGGAGTATATCCTCAAACTGTACCCATTTACCTATGAATTAATCTACTTTCTCATTCTTTATGGCTGAGTAGTATTCCATTTTATAGAAAAAACACATTTTCTTTATC